TAGGCTAATTTAGTAATTATTTAGTTATTTAGTTAAAATATGAGTTAAAAAAAATTAGTATGTTTGGGATGACTTTTTGACTTTTTACAAAAAGATGTTCAAAAAGTAGAGAGAAAAAAGAATCTTTGACTTTTTAATATAAATTATTAATTTTTGACTAATTTAATAACTTTTTGACTAAACTAAAGGATTCCGAAACAAGGCCTTAGTTCTCTATTCGATTTATGTGTTTTGATTACATTTTGGCTCTTTCCACTTTTTATTAAGAAAATGCTTGGTTGTCTTTAATGTTGAAAAACGTATCCCAAACATACTAGTTTTTTTACCTCATATTTTAACCAAAAAGTCAAAAAGTTACTAAAATAGTCTATTCCCAAACGGAGCAAGGATCCTCTAGAGTTTTTTTTCCCTAAAGTTTCCTAGAATGGTGTGTTGTATGGTTGAGATTTAATGACAAGTCACATCAATTTTTTAGTATTAAATCTCACCCATACAATACACTACTTTAGAAAATTTTAGGAAAAAAAAAACTCTAGAGGATCCTTGGTGTCCCAAACGAGGCCATGAAGTAGGCAATATAAGAAAATTCTATTTCTTATCAATTTTCACTGTCTCTCATCAAATTTATAAACTTAACGTAAAGAGAAAAAAAAAAATTAGGATTTGGTTTAAAAAAAATAAAAAAGACTATTAAGATATCATCTTATGTGATATATTCACAACCGTATACTAATGGAGGGTTTATGAGATCATGAATGTGTCAACACTGGATAACATACAAAACATGGCAGGAAAAAATTAGTAAGTGTGGCATTATTGTATATATATAAATGAGTAAGTTGCTGATAAAAAAAATATAAATGAGTTAGTTATATAAAAAACAAAAATATACATAACTCATATTGATTGTATTTGAACTTATCGTTTTAAAACATAATATTCTTTAAAAAAATAAATAATCATAAAAATATCACTATCATATTAATTTAGTAAATACTATAACAAAAAAATGTGCATTACTATTCAAAATCAAAAATTAGACTCAATTTTCTCAGTGACAATCAATTAAGATATTAAAAGTAACACATTCTCTCATATATTTTCTAATCATTAACTAATTATATCAACTACACAAAAATCTAGAAAATGAGTTTAGAAAATAGGTTTATCTATCATTTTTCTAAAATAATTTATAAAAATAATATTTCTCTATATATATAGTCAAGCATATATATATATACATATATGTACATGCAACTTACCCAAGTAACCCACAAAGAAAAGCTTGGCACGCCACTTTCCATGTTAACTTTGGTCTACTTTTCCTGTAATTACAAATTAACTCACATGTCAAAAACACAATATTACAACAGTACATATATGTATGTGTATATAATGTGTTTAAGTTTTTTTTTTCCTCCATTTCTCTTGCAGATTCATGAAATAATACAACAAACAGTAAAGAACAAAACAAAACAAATTTCCATATTTTCTAAAATAAAAAGAAAAACAAACATGTATACATATATATATATATATATATATATGTTCAAATGATCAAAACCCATCATAAAAATAAAATTTAAAAAAAAAAAAGATCAAAACCCAGAAGCGTATATAGATGACCTTTCAAGGAGGAGAGCGATAGGGACAATGAAGGCAGCAGCAAAGACAAAGCGATAGGCAATCAAGACGCTCATGCTCATTCCAATACTCGAAGCCAGTTTGTAGAATACATTGACTCCTGCCAATGCAACCTGAACCACCGCCATCATCATCGCTGGTTTCAACCCATGTATAGTATTCGCTATCTTCCCCATCTCCCTCCACCCACAATGCCAAATCTATCTCTCTATATATATAGCTATATCTATATCTATGTATGTGTATGTGTATATGTATAGCAAGAACAAGCAAGAAGATCGAGAACAGCTTCGTCTTCTCGCTTGCTTGTCTGGAATTCAATTGAAAATGAAAAAAACAAACACACAATGAATATATATATGTGTATGTGGGTAGAGAGAGAGAGAGCGAGTCAGTTGGGGAGGTCTTGAAAGAGTTAGAGAGAGAGAGAGAGGTGAATGGGGAGAGTTGTGTGGTTGAAAGAAGAGAGAGGGGGTGGTATTTATTGTAATTAAGAGTCGTGGGGTCTTGGTGTGGTGCTATTTCCCCACGTCACTGCTCGCAAGGGTAAGTTCATCGGTTGACACGTGCGAGATTGTACTCGTGGACGTCCCTCGCACCTTCTTCACTTTTGCATGGCTTGTGCACGTCACACCCTACGCTTCACTCCACTATACTCATGCACTTTGCCATATGTGTAGGCTAAATCCCATTTAAATAAAAAAATAAGTACAAACACATAAAACGATTTATATTAGCGGATTATATTTAGTTCTCTATTCGATTTATGTGTTTTGATTACATTTTGGCTCTTTCCACTTTTTATTAAGAAAATGCTTGGTTGTCTTTAATGTTGAAAAACGTAGAAGAAAAATTGTATCCTAGTAGTCTATACATTTTGTTATTTATATTATATTGGTTTGTATAATTTTAATTGATTTATTTTTAATTTTTAATTTTTAATTCTGTATTAATTTGATATAATTGATTCGTTTGGGAAGTGGGTTGATTTTTTGACTTTTTTATTATTTTAGTCTAGGTTAAAAAATATCGTTGGAGATGGACTTTTTGATTTTTATGAGAGAAAAAATTTAATAATTATAGGTTAGATGTGATATTTTGTATTATTTGACTAAAAAGTCTTTTGTTTTTTTTGTTTGTGTGTGTCGCTATTTTAGCAGGAAAAAAAAAAACCTCAAATCTAACTTCCCAAACAAGCACAAAGCTGTTAAAGTTTTTCATTGAAAATTGAGTTGGTTGAAGTTAACCTATTGAGTTTTGAAAAATGTTTGAGTGGGTCCCACTGACTGATGTGATGTTTTGGCCTTAAGTTTTTTTTTTTTTGTTTAATTTCCACCTCATTAGTGGTCCATTAGTGCTCCCAAATTAATAGGATGTATCATTGTTGTTGAGTTTAGGTTTATGCTTTTATCTAAAAAATATGACACATGTCATTTATTTACGTATTTTTCATAAAAATATTAACAATTATTTTACCAAGTTAAGATAAAATTATAAATTGAGAATTAAAATCGAGTAATTTAAAATACAAGAACCAAAAACAACTAAATTATAGGAACTGCGGGGGGAAATTTTGTGATGTTTTAAGAAATTGGTAAAAAGTTAATTTTTTATTTTTTTAGTCAAAAAAAGCTAACTTTTTGGATAGTAACTAGGTTAAAAAATTAATTTTTTTAGCTGAAAAAGTTAAAAGTGAATTTTTTGCTAGCTTGCCAAAGCAAGCTATTTATTTTGCGTTTCTAGACGATAACATCATTAGCCTCACCTTTGTTAGTCTCACTTTATTTTTTTTTAGTTATTAATTATAATGGTTAAGTCTGTATACTTTCTTTCCTTTAGATCCGTATTAAATTTCTTACTGAAAATTATCATGTGACAATCACATGAGTCATTTTTATGGACAATTTTTTTTTTTTTTTGCTTTTTAATTTCTTTTATATATTTTTAATAATATTCTCTCCCTGTTGTATTTTTTCTAAATTAATTACAAAAGAGTGATCGGTACTGATGTTTTAAAAAGAGTAGTATTACACAAATAAAAAATTCATACATATTGATGTGATTCATTGTGAACCTTTCATTTCAAAACAAAATATCACTGAAGATTTTTTTTATTTACAATAGTGACATTATCACATAACTCTTATCAAATTTTTGTTCAAATTTTATGTACAGTTAGAATTTTCATTTTAGAAAAACTAATAGATAGAGGAATATAGCAAAAAAAATTATATAGAAAAGTAGAACATAGAAAAATAAATTTACAGTTTTGCCTTGAGAGGCCCCTGATATTTTCCGTTAATAAATTTAACACTAAATTAACGAAATTATTATATTATAATTTGACTAAAATATAAAAATTAATTATTACGATTAAAAATTAAATTTAATGTAAAATGATGAGTGGAAATTATAATTTATCCAACATATATGGAATTTAGCAATATTAGGTATCATGAAAAATCTTTCATGAAAATAATCATGAAAGCTTTGTAACCTTTGGATTACACTTAAAATAAAATACCATACACTAATCAAGGTAGGGGTGGGTGCAGGTCAGTTGCAGCCATGGAACCTCCAATCCGCCATCCGTCCACCAGATTGGCGGATTGGAGAAAATCAATCTGCATCCGTCCGTTAATCCGGCGGATGTGGATTGAGCGGATTGGCGGTTTGGCGGTTTGGCGGATGGATGCGAATCGGTTTGGCAGTTTAAAATTTTATAAATTTTTAACATAATTCAACTTGTGCACTTCCTCAAAAACAAAATATATATTATAATCAATGACTTAAAAAAGTATTACAATCGTTGTATGCATCATCCAAAAAAAAAAAAATTTGAAACTTTAGAATATCAGAATCACTGCATGCATCATCCACATATTATAATCACAACATGATTCATCCACATAAAGTATTACAATATGTAGTTCTTAAAATATAAAAGCAATTCAAACCACCAAAACTATGAACAGAGCAGTAGGAGAGATTGTATGTCTCTGTATTGTTACATCTATATATATTTTTGAAAACAAAACCAACCAGCATATATCATATTTTCTATTAAAAAAGAAAGTTTGAAATTTTAGAATATCAGAATCACTGCAAGCCTCATCCACATATTATAATCACAACATGATTCATCCACATAAAGTATTACAATATGTAGTTCTTAAAATATAAAAGCAATTCAAACCACCAAAACTATGAACAGAGCAGTAGGAGAGATTGTATGTCTCTGTATTGTTACATCTATATATATTTTTGAAAACAAAACCAACCAGCATATATCATATTTTCTATTTATTATTTTTAGAGTTAGATTTAAAAACCAAAAAATATAGATAAATAATACGTTTATTTTTTTCAATTCAAAAAATATATTCAAGTTAAAAACTTTTTTTCAACAGAATATTTAAAATCTTTTTCAATTGAAAACACAAAATCTTATAAATTACTAAAGGTGCTCGCGGTTTGACGGTTTGGTTGCGGTCAAAGGAATCTCAAATCTGCCATCCGTCCGCCAAATTGGCGGATTAGAGAAAATCAATCCACAACCGTTCGCTCGTCATCACGCATCTGTTCAAAATGCGGCGGATCGATTCGGTTCGATCGATTTTGACGGATAAATATATCCGCTACTCACTCCTAAATCAAGATAATTTAAGAATCATAACTTTTTCATAATCATTTTCATAAAAAAAAAATTTGATGATGCTTAACTTTTCTCTATAGAATTAAGTGTTTATATCGTGGCAAACACGTGCGAAGAGTAAATGCAAGTGTGCATTACAGTTCCTAATAGCCAGAAAAAAAGTGTAGAAGCGAATTTAATGCAAAGAACCACGTGGACGGTGGGGATGGCTGGAGTGATATCAGCTGTGATGGGTCGGCACCCGGGTTAGTGGGGAGTGAGGTGTACTCAGATGACTTGTGAAAGAAGGGCTCCTTTGTAACGTTCCTTCAAAGCTGTAAGCCAATTTTGTGTTGGCTTTTTCTTGATGGTTGTGGTGGGTCTAATAAAGCAATTAAGGGTCCATTTTAGAAGTAACCAACCAAAAATAATTAATTAATTAATTAATTAATTTTTGACTTTTAATTTATTTTAAATTATATTATTTTTCATATTTTTTACACACAAAAAGAAAAAATAAATCAAAAAAAATTAAAAAGTCAACTTTTAACCAACTTTCCAAATCACTCCTAAACAAATCCATTGTATGATGTACTTCAGATGTCCATCTTATTATGGCCTCATTTAGAAAGTTAATTATTTTAGTTAATTTTTTAATTATTTTAATTTGATTAAAAAATTGTGTTTAAAAAAGATTGATGTTTTTTTTAATTAATTTGATAGTTTTAGGAGAAAAATTAAAATGATTATAAATTGAATGTAATATTTTGTCTTATTGATCATTTTAACCTATTTTATCCTTATTAACTATTTTAGTCTAATTAAAAAAATTATGTTTGAGAAGATGTCTAATAAAGCAATTAAGGGTCCATTTTAGAAGTAACCAACCAAAAATAAATAATTAATTAATTAATTAATTTTTTACTTTTAATTTATTTTGAATTATATTATTTTTCATATTTTTTACACACAAAAAGAAAAAATAAATCAAAAAAAATTAAAAAGTCAACTTTTAACCAACTTTCCAAATCACTCCTAAACAAATCCATTGTATGATGTACTTCAGATGTCCATCTTATTATGGCCTCATTTAGAAAGTTAATTATTTTAGTTAATTTTTTAATTATTTTAATTTGATTAAAAAATTGTGTTTAAAAAAGATTGATATTTTTTTTAATTAATTTGATAGTTGTAGGAGAAAAATTAAAATGATTATAAATTGAATGTAATATTTTGTCTTATTGATCATTTTAACCTATTTTATCCTTATTGACTATTTTAGTCTAATTAAAAAAATTATGTTTGAGAAGATAGTTAGTATTTAACCTATTTTATCATTATTAACTATTTTAGTTTGATTAAAAAAAATTGTTTGGGAAGATATTTATTTATTTATTTTTTGTAATTAACTTGATAGTTGTATGGAGAAAAAAAAAAGGCAAACTAATTATAGGTTGAATATGATATTTTATTTTATTGATCATTTTAAGGGTTCGTTTGGCATGAAAGTTTGGTTTGGGTTGGAGCTATTTTAGCCACAAAATAAGCTAAAAAGTTAATAAGATAAAATGTCATATCCAAACCATAATCATTTCATTTTTTTCTCTGACAAAAGTCAAAAAAGTCAAAAAGTTTATCTCAAACCAGACTTTTTAGCCCCCAGGCTAAAATAACCAAAAATTCAAAAAGTCAACCCACATCCCAAAACGAATGCTAACTTATTTTATTTTTATTGACTATTTTAGTTTAATTAAAAAAATTGTATTTGGGAAGATAATTAGTATTTTAACCTAT